TTGTTATAGAATTTGCTATCACTATCAGTGAGTATGTAAGTATGGTTTATTTATTCATGACCTAGTGTGCATATGTGTTCAATTATTCTAACTTTAACTTTATTTAGCAACGTGTATATCTTTATTGGGTTTGCTTATATTCGGAAGAAAAGTTAGATCTTATGGAACGTAACTTGAAAATTGAAACATTTCCAAATGGTGTAAAAAAGATTGACAGTGAGCAATATCGTTATCCTGATAACACATATTTCATATACTCGTAACGCGGACTGCGTGTTGTTGTCTTTATTATCACGCGTACGTAAGATTGTCATCAAATTATGTTCCTTTTATTATTAAACATTATATATGTTGTATATAATTAGTGGCAGATCACCCCAAAACCTGATTTTGATCAAATAGATCGTAAGATGATATAGCCAAAATCTACTTGTCATGATTGAAAAATCGTACATGATACGGCTATCTACCTTCGCTGTTTGATAATTACTGTATTGAGGAATAATTCGTATGATATAATACATTGTCCTTCTGGAATCCTGGAAGTTACCTACGGAGGCAACGAATTAAATCTGGTGGCGACAGCAGACTTTTCCGAATTAGAAAACATACCTACACGTATCACTGAGAGAAGCAGCGAAAACGCAAAGTGTTGTTGGTCCTGCGTCTGGTAGACAGTTTAAGTGCATGTGTAAAGGTACATGTCTCGATAGTCGATGCAGCTGTAGGAAAGCGAAACCGAATTGTAGTGAACATTGTCATAGAACTAGTTCTAATTGTCAGAATTCTTATTAATAAAATCTTTTCATAGTATCAACGAGTATATTTGGGGTCATCAGTCACAAATTATATATGTGAATCAGGTTTCGGGGTGATCGGCTACAAATTATATATGTAAATCAGATTTGGGGTGATCGGCCATCAATTATATATATAATTCCGGGAATTATATAGTGACGCAAATTATATACAACATATATGTACAAGTCACTATGAAGACGAAGTTGGAATTGCGTGTTACGGTCGATGCAATAACGGTTGGCGCATTTAGCTTGAGAACAATGATCACATACTCACCGCTTATTTTACTTTCCAATAAATACCTAGCCTATAGTCATAAGTGTCGGTCCCATGACCTCCGAGCGTCTAAATCTGTAAGTGATGCACAAAATGTAGTCTTTTATTATCATCTGATATTATTATTTAATGTAAATATAAACATCAAATATACTATATAATTCTTTTTTCTTTTTCGGCTACTCCATCACCTCGGAAGGCTAAAACTGCCGCATTTTTGAAATAGGAAAAAGAAGCTAATTTTAAGACTTATCGGAAAGTAGTGAGTTTGTATTCTCCAAATGAAGGAGTTACACTTTCTCCTGGCATATAAATTGCATACTATACTATCTTAACCAAAAGGCAAGTTTAGATCTGCGTGGAGTTTCTTTGCTGCCTCTAGCTCTCAATGCTTCCTGGCAATCCACAGCCTCATTTGTTAATGTTCGTTTCAGTTTCTTATACGTACAAGAGATCATTGTCAACGTTGTCTGAAACGATTTCTAAGGTAGACGCGAATGCCTTCAGTCCTCTTCCACCTCAGTTTCCCTAAGATCAATTAACATTAACTCATTTCAATCGCGCAAGCTTAATATTAACTCATCACTATTTTCTTCCAGATCCAGCAAGAGAATCGTCAACAAAATTATTCCAGGGATTATTTGCCAGATCAATACTTGGAACATTCTCCTTCCGAAACCAATAAGTGGATAATCGTGCCTGTGTCTTGTAAGAACGAACTGAGGGAAGAAGTTTGGATTTTCGGCTGCGTATCTTTTCAAAAGATGCTTGCATAACAGATAAGTGCTTCCGGACATGAACAAATCCGTCTGTGATATCAGTATAATATATCGTATCTATAATAACTTTCTTTTCTAATGCAATTTTCTGGTCATGCTTGAATCTTGTATAACAGATTTCGAGATTTATGCGCACCTTGCTTTATTCGAATAATAACTGCATTAGACTGATGTCAAGCCTGAACGTAAACTTTAATGAGGTATTGTGTCTAGAGGCTAATCTATAAGTTAACATTCGTCTTTATGCGATTTACAATGACTTCAAGTACTTACTGTGCACAATGACAAAATGACTGATCTTCCACTAGAATCTGAACTAAGTTGATACTATAACGTTGAAATAAAGAAATTTTTGATAATAGCCTTGTTGTCTTACTTTGTCATAGATGTAGTGCACACAATTACTATTTGTGCAACAATGTAAAATTGTGTGTTTATAATAATGATACTATGCTGTTATCGTTAGAGCAGTAAAGGTACGAGTCAGATGCTCTATTTCTGAACTTCAACTTGCTACCGTCATATACAGTGGTCGTCATAAATATCCGGAATTTAATCTCACAAACAAAAAATTTTCTGTATGCTTAAATTTCGTTCTCTCTCTTTTCTTTGCTTTCTCACACGCAGTCTTTTTTTTTTCCTCTTTGGTAATTGGTAAAGCCGTCAACGTTTAGTTATATTCTATCTCCTTTTTGCTTGCTGGTGATGGTTTTATGTGCCGACACTGTGTCACGATTTTTAATACTATTCGCTAACCTAAGGAAGAGATTATCATCCAGACCCTCCAATTACTGATAAATTATTGTTTGAAAGTCAATTGTTGAAAGCTTCTTTTTTTTTCATTAACCGTAAATTTACTTCTCCACCTTCCCTTAAGTATTGCGCACAAATTCTCGATTGTGTTTATATCCGGCGAGTAAGCCAGCCAATCAATAATGTGAATACTATGGCGCTCAAACAGGTCAGTTATTGCGTGGATAGGTGAGTCATCCTGTTGAAAACAAACTGACGATTTGCTCTGGAAAAAGGTAAGTTTCAAAAATTTGTTGATATCTTTTAGCATTGAGTTTTTCAGTGAATAAAATAAGTGCGGTATAGCAGTATTGTTGTTCTGCACTATTAGACCAAGGTAACGGCGTTGTGAAGCCCAAAGCTGGCTTACAACTGTTCTTTGTGCTTCAAACTTTGACTTTTTTTTTCGTTTTTCACTAACAGACACGGAAACAGACTGCAAACAAGTTAGTGGTAATGCGTTTGGTTATGATGCATAATACTTTAATACCAATTTTGTATTGGTTATGCTACGTGACTTTTTCTGCACCGGATCAAAATTTCGGATATTTATGACGACCACTGTACCTGCCAATATAAGGTTGGTTTTGAATGTACACTAGATAAATCTTTTTTTTGTTGCTGAGATTTGTAAACACTAGTAAAAAAGGTTTAATCTGTCGTTCTGGATTTCTTCTCTTTGTATCGTATCAGGCTATATAGACACACACTAAGTTTATGTTTGGGATGAGAACATGCATTATTTTTTGCATTAACTGCCTTGGCATCCCATCCAAATCGCGCAATATGAGCTTTCCTTTTTCTCTTTTCTCATATTGGATAGTTTACATGGTCGTATTCACATGTTACAGGCCTCCAAATGTAAAATTTTTTCTAGTAATAAATAACTTCTATTTTCTGCAAATGCTATATAACTTTGCGAGTCCCTGTCTACATATATATATCTCTCTCTAAATATAAATGCAAAGCACGTTTCGTTGTACATTAAAATCATGTACTCTAACAAGAATAATAAGCTTGAAGCAACAATTAGGTTTCGCGCAACATAAGATTCATTGTTTAGAGTTTCGGTCCTTCTGCCCCAGTTCCAATAACGTAACGTTAAACAGTTGAATATCCGATATAAGTATTGTCAGATGAATTGTGGGGATAACATAATTAATCTAGCAAAAAATTGTCAATACGTCCGTGATAATCGACAAACACTACTGGGTTAAGGCTAATGTCAGGATCGAGGCCTAAGTACGACGTGATAGGATAGCACACCAAATCCAAGTAACACATGTCACTAATTGCGCAGCGTAATGCTGTCCCGTTATATCGAAATTTCGTGACAAACACAAACTATCCCCATTTATCCAAAAATCTGGATTAGTGAAACGATAATTATAAATGAATCGTAAATAGTAGCTAAAAATCATCTTCAGAACGTCTTCAGTTCAGATCATTCAGCAAGACGTTGCTATTAGGGTAGTTCTCTTTATTCTAATAAAAATCCGATTCAAATATAATAATTATTATTTCGTTTATTCCCTGATAAAAGATACTTGCATCGTCAGCGGTGAATAGAATTAATTCTTGCCGATTAATTCTATTTAGTACTTTTGCAATCAGGATTGGTTAACAGATTTGTTACCGACTCGACAGGCTTTGAGACTAATCCCATTAAAGAAATCGCAGCGATTACTCGAGGTTAAACAATAATCTAGGGACAGCGTATACGAGACCAATATTATATAGATCGTGAATATAAATCCTGGTCTAATTGTAGTTTGAAGTAGGAAGAGCGAAAGCTTCCGTTGGAAACGAACTAAATCCCAAAACGGCTAGTACACCGCTGCTCTCCCAGGTGTAAGCTAGTCCGATTCATAATTGACATCATCACTATTGTCGCGTGAGATATGTTGTCAATTCCAACATTATCAGACAGTTGAATAGAATCGTACTCTGATATCCATCAGATATAGTATTATGAGCAGAGTTCATGGAATGTCTTTGGCGTGAAGCCCGGAAACAGAGCCCCTCAGAAAAAATACTGGTTAGTATTGATCCCGACCTTCGCGATCTACCCAAGGAGCAAGAGTATCAACGTATCATGTGATGAGGCTAAAATCGATACCGTATGTGAAAGGACATTTAGTAATAAAGGACTGCTAGGGATGAATTGTCTGTTTAGAATGGCTCGGTATAACCCCCCTTGGGAAAATCTTTTTATCTTGATTGTAGACATCTTCGGGGCGGATCGTATCTACTCTTACCAAAATGGCAGGCATTGCTTTGATATTGATTTCAAAAAACTATTCTCAAAAGAAATTGCTATTCACTGCTAATCTTTGAAAGTCTTCATTTACCTTATTTGCTCGAATCAGCAGCCAAAGTCTCGTTTATTCGTACTTCACCCCACGAAATGACGTAGGTCCATAACCTCGTCCATCACCAAATTACTACTTTGAGAACAGATATCAAAGTGTCTTCGTCGACTGTAAGATAATTACCCCGCCTTGAAGAGAATTGCCGGATCGTCCGTCTGAACAATATTAAAGTGCACAAGCGAGTTTGTCGAGAATACTCGATGGAACAGAATAAGCTCGACCAGACCCGTGGTTCCCATTTTCGTAAGAAAAATGTATTTGATTAATTCTTATCGTCTGTTGCTAGCGGAAGTTCAAGAGCCTCTTTTTTTGTTTCCAATTTACAAATAATAAATCACCAACAGATTTCTGCTTGAATAAGTTCAACGGAAATTATGATGGATTCGATAAAGAAAATGAATTTGACATATCACATGTAACAAAAAGTCGCTTTCACCTCACTCAATCCCTAATCACTCAATCCCTAATCTATCCTATCGCAACCCACTCTTTCCCCTTCTCTCTTCTTCCATTCTGCACCATTCAAAATTTCTTTGGAGCTATGTTCTCCTTCCTAACAATTATGGATCCTTCCTCAGTTTTAGTCCAGCCATTTGATAAGGCAGTGTGATAATAGGCTAATTGTGCGAGGAATTACATGTACCGCATCCTTTGCTCGACACGGTCCCCCCGCGTTTCGACCTCCTTATGTTTACCCCCAATAAATACCATCAACGCACCTAGCCAATATGAACCAGCCATAACAATTCCTTTGCAAATACATCACCAAAAATGGTATTCTAATGTCACCACCAATGTCATTAACATTGACAATAAGCAAACGTCCCAAGTAACGTATTGACCATAATCAAAATCCAAAAGTTCGCCGAAAATGGCAATACAAACTCTTCTATACCAGCCGCATCTAGCAACAGAGATAACGATAATGGCCAGAGAATAAAGGCATTAAATGACGCAGCAAAGCCAAAGAATAGGGGCACGTCTTTTATGCGTAATTTTAGTAAAACGGTATAATATCCATAAAGAAAGCGCCAATTAATGCTAAGAAATTTTGGGAACGCGGCGTGGCCGGCTCGAACGAGTTGTCGTCGTTGCGTTGTCGTCGTTGTGATCTGTCTGCCGGCGAGATTCAAATAAACCCGATTAAATATAGAGACTGACGTCCTTGTGATTACGTCTCCGTGTATTTCGTTGAAACAGTTTGGAAAGCATAAAAAACTCTAACGCCGACGAGTGACCCTATAAGCCTGTCGAAAAAAAACAAACGATATTCGGTATTAATACATCAGCATCCTTCTTGACTCGTCAGCTCTGGTCCCCGGAAATATAATTGCAATTCTACTTGACATCGATGCCAATATCGTTCTGCTTGCGACTGTTGTATATGCATTGCTACTCCAGTTCGCTGATCAAAAACGGCAGAATCAGAATCCTTGGTTTAGCATACACTTGACTCACATTCCAGCTTCACAATTGTTAAGGTATAACTAACTCTCTCGTACTCAAGTGGTCTGCTGACTTTGTAAAGATCATAAGGATCGAGAAAAGTTTATCTCTCCTGATGATACGTAAAAACACGTGGGCTCTGACAAAGTATGTGAATATGGCGCCCCAAAATTGAGAAGGGTCCCTAGAATTAATAGGCTGTTAAAATGTTTTTATTGAAGAGGTGTATTCCGTGTAACATCAGAAAGTAGGGTACAACGTAAACATAGTTTATGCTTGGTAGAGGTAGGTTACTGCTGTTATTGTTACAGTACGTCTTATTAAATAACTCATAGCGTTTATCACGATGACCACAACATTTACACTAAATATATTTGAAGGCCTTCCTGTAAATACCTTATTGCATTGGTTTATTGTAGTCTGGCAATATATCGATAGCAATAAAGGAATATTGATGGCAAGTTGAGAGGAAATACTGGGATCATGGTCTGTTAAAGTTGTTACCAGAAACTGCACATCATTCATCAAAATGAAGATCTGACCCACAACTAGTAGTGCACCTATTTCCTATAACGTGTCACGTTTAGTTAAGAACAAATTCTGTCTGCGACTGTGTAACTGGACACAGCGTAAGAGTATAACAATACTATTGGTTGGGCGATGTTTATTGTCATTATTAGTAATAGTCGCAGCGCATGTGGCATTCGCATCAATAAAATGTTAGTAGCATGTCACACAATGCAAATAATATAACACAGTCATAATGGGAATAAATAATAAAAATTTGATTGACCATCAAGCGTTAGTGAAGTGACGAAGTGACCTCTGCAAAATGGCATATGAGGTATAGGAAAGCAAACATATTAATATGCGAAAATAATCTACTTGCACATTTATTAATTATTACATGTTGTTTTTGTAGCAACCCGAAAGCTCAATTCCCTGTACATCTGACTCGATGAGTTCTAGCTCAACAACCGGCTATGTATCAGACAGCTTTCTCATAACAAGTGCTCCTAGTGCTCCGTCAATGACATTTTCTACATCAACGTTGAACAACACTGCAACTCAAGGCAGTTTTCCGAAAATTATGCTTCAATTAATGGAACATGGGTTTACGTCAACAAATGCACAAATAAAGGGATTGTTAACGGACTTGAAGTATTCCGAGAATATTTACGCACTTAAATACATTCTCGAACATAAAGGAGATTCTGTGTCAGTAGAGGTGTTAATTACAGCTGTGAAGAGTCTATGTTCTCAAGAGTTTGATGAAGTGTTCTCAGGAGAAACAACTATTAAGTTGGAATGGCAATTACGAATTATTATTACTATACTGGAACAGATGTGTCAAAAGGAGTGTCAATTTACAGGCCCCTTTCTTGATATTATTAGACAAGCCACTTCTAACTACAAGAATGTACATTCAACAATTACACAGCATGGAGGAGAAACTTGGAAACCTAAATTTTCAGGATCTAATAAATCAGGCAAAACTATCAAAAGCTTCAAATGCAATCATGATAGCAGATACCTTCTCAAACTCATTGAGAATACATTAAACACTGTTTGTGATGAGAAAAACTGGTGCCAGACAAACATTGATCGAGCCATTGCGGCATTAAAGGGTTTACTTGTTGTTGTTCCTGGATTAGCTAAAATTGGAATTAAATCTTATACAGGATTTGAATTACCTCTTGGTGAGTTTGACTTGGAGAAATCTTGGAAATATCTAGCAGAAGCCTTTCATATTAAATCATCAGGCAAGCCATGGTATGCAACCTGGAGACAACTGATTATATTACAGGATGGTCTTGACAAATGGTGTGAACAAGAGTCTGCCATTTCAGTGAACTTTAAAGAAAGAGTGCTTCTTGAGTATCTCTGGTATCTTATCAGTTTATGTTATGCTGAAAATGCAGCAGAGAATCAAGATGTTAGTGATGAACTTTGGTTTGGCATTTTGGATATTACTCAGCAACTTATCCAGAAGACATTTTCTACAACTACACAAGCTATTTGTTATTATATGACACTAGACTCATTGAGTAATGCTATCACTGAAACTATTCAATTTAAATCCATTGAAGTGTTATTGAGTCTTGAAGTCAAAAATAATGAATTATTTGTTACAACACCTGATGATATTTCTGATTGTGATGAGAAATATATACCAAGTTTGATCAGCATATACTATTACCTGAAAAAGAAATTAGAAGTTGAATCAAAAATGATTTCAGAGTACTCACCAGACCAAATAATGACAAGTGCTCAAATTAAGAAACAACAAGAAAAATGCAAAGGGGAAGGGAAAGGGAAAGGTGTTGAGAAAAATCCAATTGACTTTGTTGCAGAAGATCTAACATGTGCTATTGTTTGTGAAGCAGTTGGCGACTTTTATCAGCTTAATTGTCAACATATTATTAGCTCAAAGGCTCTTTTATCATTAAACAACTTGGAGTGCCCTTATTGCAGAAGTGAAATTAGAAAAGATAAAGTGTATTATTTACCACAACAAACTATATACAACAATGTTCAACACTATCTTGCAGATAATAATCATCAAGGCATTTATAATGTTAATGCTAGAAATAATAATAATGCTGATGCAAAAATATTTGATGAATGTGATGACCTTAAAAAAGAAAAAAAAAAGAACAGAAGAAGAAAGAATGTTTCTGAGTCTACCTGGAGCTCAATTTGGAAATCATTAACAGTACCAAGACCAAATATAGAAAAGTTGTTTCAAAAAGCTAAAATTGCATGTAAAAATAATGAGTTGGAAAAGGCTTTGAACATTTATTCACAAATATTACAAGCTGATCCCACAAATTACAAGGCATTGTGTAACAGAGCAAAAATCAAGTTGGATATGAAAAATTTTGGAAAAGCCCTGCTTGATATTGAGACAGCAATTGAAGTTAACAAGATTTATGATGATGCTAGGTATTTAAGTTTAGTGGCACATGTAGGATTGAGGAATAAGAAAAAAGCTGAACAAGATATTGGGCATATTAGCTTGTTTATGCAAAAAAAGGCATTTGATGTTATTAATGAATATGTAAACAAACTTGAGTGCTTTGATGTGGAATGGTTTAAAATTCTTGTGGACAGTTGTCCTTGTATAGCAATGTATGCACTACCTAACATTGATGAATGGCAATTACTGTGTATCTATCAGTATGGAGCAGATGATTACACCAAATGGTACAATGCTGCCGTAAGTTGGTATGAGGAATATAACAATGCTCTATTTTATTACATGAGTATAAACGCGTTTTTTGAAAAAATTTACTATATGCATAAAAGTAAGGGCTGCACTTGATTACATAATTCTTTATATTATCTATATCATGCATACTAAATTACTTATATTTATTGTATAATTAGGTCATCTGAAAGCACATTTTGCATATGAAAGTCATGTTGAAGATAGGAGTAAATGTGAATGGTAAATAAATTTAATAATCATCTGTTACAGTAGTACTATTACTAATGTTTACCTTGATAGTGATTTATACTGGGGTTTTTTGCGCTGTTACGGGCCCAATAAAGTAAGTTTTTAATTATCAATACAATATAAATAGTCTATTGTTTGTTTTGTACAATGTTGTGAATATTAATTAATAAACGATTGTATATTAGTTAACAATACCCATATTCCAAGTACCCCCAAATAAATACAAACTCAGCATTTTGTTGGACAATTATCAGAAGTCAACAATTACAATTGTAGTAAGTACAAAAATATGTATTTTGTTTTTGATCCTAATTGTATAATAAATATACATTT